CGCGGCACTGACGCGGCACTGCCGCGCATTGACGCGGCGCTGCCGCGGAAGTGCCGCGACCATACTATGACATAAAACAGACTTAAAATCCTCAAGAACAAGTTGAACTTGTCTCAAAAGCTCATTTGACACAATCAATGATTATGTATTATATTTATGGCAATACTCGAACGAATCTGACCTTCCAAAGAACAATTGCATGTGGTACTGACCTGTATAGATACAAACAAGCTTTGAAATCGGGCCAGTAGAGGTTCAGACACCTCCTAGTTACATATTTGCTCGAGATACGGTATTCTTACGTGGCTTAGTCGGGCTTAGTCAGGCGTAGTCGGGCGTAGGGATTGCCGCGTCAGTGCCGCGGCAGTGCCGCGGCATTTTCTCCTGGCCCCATCAAAATGATTATCAATGCCCGCGACGTCGCATCACTGCTCTCGGCAAGGCGCCTCGGGCGCGTTGGGCGCTCGTGCGGCGGCGGCGTCGCGTGCTCGCTTAGCGCGCAGGCCTAATCGGGCCTTTATTTGCATCTGCTATGTAAGAATACCCTCTCGTGCTTTCCCACGCCGCTTGCTGCACCATTTTCCGCTCCCCTGGTTCGCGTACGGATGCTCTCCAGGATTGTTATGCATCTTAGATATCATGATTTCACTGGGGCTCCTTCTTTCATGGTTCTATGCGCAATGGTTCCGCTGTTGGAATCCACCCCCGAGACCGCTGTCGCTTTTTTGGGCCCACTAGGCTAGTGATGGCCGGGTCGGGTCGGGCTTAGGTCGGGTCGCGGCGGGCTTGGGCTCGAGAAAATCTTGAGCCCGACCTGACTTGGAGGTCGGGCCAGGTCGGGTCGGGCTTGCGCTTGGGCCCGGGCTTGGCTGCATTTTTTCCAACTGATCTATGGTGAGTTTTCAAACTCTTTCAGCGTTGTACAACGCGTTTCTCACTCAACAGGACCCCTCACAGACTGTGGAATTCCCAAAATTGCTGTCCTGGCGGGCCATTTGAAGCACAAGTCTGAATGCGGCACGCCCATCAAGTGTCAAGATGTTATGTTTCATGGTTGAACATAGACAAGTAAGTCTATTAAAGGTAGAAATCAGATTTAACCTGAGATTATTAAGCAAGGATGATTCAGTAGAAGTGGAACTCCTTTGAAGAATTTGAACTCGGGCTACATATAACTCGACGGGAAACACCTCAGGAGCCTTTCTAGAACATTCTGAGTCCCTCGGCTTCAAAAACTTGGAGTTGAATACAGACCAAGGAGCAGAGGCGAACACTGACCAAATGTTGTACTAGACTCATGCTTGTAGACCCGCACTGTTGATGCAAATTTTCAATCACCCCTTTCACCGCCAAATCTTTGGGAAGGGTTACCCCCCCTGACATGTTCTACGAGGTCGAAGGCCAAATATACAGATTCCTTGGATCCCATTGCAGCCGTTTGTTGGCTGCCTGATGTTTTAGAATTGAGGTTTTCTTGAATTCTCCCTCCCAATCAATTTGGTTCATGTAATTTAGATGTTCTGTCAGTTTAGCACTTATTCAATGTCCCTCGAAGTGCCGAGCGAGCCCGAGTTCGTCGTGGATGATGCTCCTGATCACTGCGTATGACCCAGGTCACTTCCGTGACCTCGGACGTTTCCCACCAAATCAAATGTACAAGCCCCAATGTCAGCAAATACCGGCATAATGCGCAATGGCTACCAGCGCAGGAGGGACACAGCACCTACGGCGCTCCCACACCCCCATCGCGACACTTCCTGCGTATCCGCTCTCCCGACGCTAACGTGCGGTCCTGTGCTCCGCCGCCGCCGTACTGCGAGCGCCCACCCTGCGCCCACCCTGCGCCCACCCTACACATCCATCTGGCTGTCTGCGGCTGAGCGGAATGAGGAGGTTACGTCCTCCCACCGTCCTCGCTGCGTTCCATCGCCCTCGTCCTGCGCACCCGCTGCGCGTGCGGAGCCATGCCTGCCACCCCGACGCAGGACGCAGATGCCGCACTCCACCCCGACGCAGGGCGCGGACGCCGCGCTCCCGGTGCCCTACGTCGCGAGCGAGATCCTCTACCCTGGAATGTGGCATCTGGACCTGGAAACGCGAGCGCGCGTGCCGGACCACGAGAGCCGCCAGATTTCTGCGCTTTATTGCGCGACAGGTGGCCTGTCACGACTGCGGCATGGGTTCTCTGAGCTCGAGCCTGGCGTTCCACATTTCAATATTTTTGGTACATTTTATTTGGATTTTATTACCAGAAACATTTTTCCCTGCAGACTTGGCGACGTCCGGCAGCGCGGAAATCATCTCAGGATTGCCAGAAGGGGGCATTGGTGAAAGATGCAATTATCACCTTGCTTTGCTAGGTCTCCCACGTTCTAAATTATTTCATTGATCGGCCTTTTTGATCTGCCAGAATAAATATGCGGTCTCCTGCACTCTCCCCAGTGCTCTAAAACCACTGATCTGCCAGAACAAATACCATCATGTTCACCTGTGTCCATTCTTCTCACAACTCCGCCTTCTGTGACCCTTTCCTAAATCATTCTCTGGTGCATCCCGCTACTACGTGTTGTTCTTCTCCCTCGACCAACAACACCTCCACGGGCTCCCGGTCCACTCGCGCCTCCAAAAAAACGCGCCTCACAGCGCACCAGTTTTGCTTCAACCCAAGTCAGTTCCGACCTTGCACGTGTCCACGACGCGCCAGGGTGTGAGAGCCAGCTCTTTTAATGCACCGGCGGGGAATCGAACCCCAGACTCAGCGGCGATCTAGGGGTTCGATCCGCGTCGGTTGAGCCGTAGGCGAAACCGAGGCGGATCGAACGCTGCGAGCCCCGCGAGCCGTGGGCGAGCATGGCGAAGCCATGCGCGAGCGAGCGGAGCGAGCCGGCGAGCAGAGCGATGCCCGTTGCCGCGATCCGGGGCGGTTGAGCCCTAGGCGAGACCGGCACGTGATCTAGGGGTTCGATCCGCGTCGGTTGAGCCGTACCGCGAGCCGTGGGCGAGCCGTGGGCGAGCGTGGCGAGGCCATGCGCGAGCGAGCAGAGCGATACCCGTTGCCGCGATCCGCGGCGGTTGAGCCCTAGGCGAGACCGGCACGTGACCGCTCGGATCACCATTCAATGACGGCGTTCCCCTTTCTTTCATCGCCGCCCTGGCTCAGCTGGTGAAGCAGCATTTCGCCGGGTGTCTCCGTGAGGTCGTGGGTTCGAGATCGCCGTAGCTTTTTGTTTTTTGGAGACTTTTTTTGTACTCAAACACATTCTCTCGCAGGGCTGTACTATTGTAGACGCACACCACCTCTTCCGTCAACGCAGCCCTACCACCTACCCATTGACTGTATCTATCCTTTTGTTTCCCGGAGAATTTCATCCAGCAGCAGTGTCCACGCGAATGAGATCCAGCCGACAATCCACGGCATTAGTACATTCAGCATCAACGCGCAGACACCGCATGCCCACCCGTTACTCAAATTTAGTCCAGAAACCATTCCCCGGGCATTACATCCAACGGAGAATTATTCAGCTCCATCGGGCAGACCCGAAACTGATCAAAAATTGATTTATGCACTGAGAAAAAATTCGAAGGACATGGTTCGCTGCGGGCGTGCGGCGCGAATCGATCACGCCATGTCCCATAGGGATCTGACAAGGACTGGGCGCAGGGCGGCTGTTATACTGAAAACTTCCCAAAACAGAAAAAAATTGGCCACACCCTAAGTTCCGCAAAGAGCTGTAAGTGAGGACAGAACCCGGCCTGGAACGAACTCGGACTTATATACGGATTCTGTATCTGTATTCGTTTAGGTGTGCTTCGATGGCGGAGCATATCGGTTTGCGCTGGTGCCAGCACGGGCTCTCAGGCGAAAAACGATCACTGTGATATATCAATCTGCATGTGTCGACGAGCGGCCTCGCGTTTGCCAAGGGACGCAGCGTTGATGTTTCTTGGGTGGAAATTACAGTACCATCGGGCCCTTCTGAACTGTGGGGGTATATAAAAGTTGATTTTTTTCATTGGGGGGAAGGGAAGATAAAGTGACTATCTAATACAGGGGAGACTTGTAGCTAATGATACAGTGAGCGTGGGTGTGTATGCTGGAGAAGCATCGCATGCAGAGAATGGATGTGAGAAAAATACAAGTAATGCTGGGAAGGAGTGAGGAGACCGATCTGGAAAAGACGAGAATGTATCCGTTGATATTTGGCGGTCATAGTGAAAACCTCCGACCACCGGCACTGGAAACTATCGACATATCAAGGGCGCTCCAAGAAAAAGGAGAACTCCTCAGAATTATGCACCGACGGGGAATTGAACCCCGGTCTCAGCCTTATATGGAGAGCTGTGTAAGCAAATATGGGCTGTGTGTACCATACACCACCGGTGCTTTCTAACTCTCAATATGCCCTCGATTTAGCTGATATATATGCAACACTCCCTCTCTTAGGCCTGCAGAATTAGAGGTCGGGTGAGGATGCTCTAGCTGATCACGATGTAGTGTGAAAATCGATGAGCAACGGTTCTACCAGCCTGTCACCTGGAGGCTGAAACAGATTTCCGGAATACCGTCCAGGAAAATTTAGGACAACGTACTAGAGAAAGGGAGGGGGGAAAAAAGGGTATGGGGAGCAACACATGCACCGGCAGGGAATCGAACCCCAGACTCAGCCTGATCAACCGTGTCAATGCATAATGAGGGGCCATGTGTACCATACACCACCGGTGCTTTCAAACCCTGTATACCACGCCAAATTGGATGTCCCGGTCTACAGGCAAAAACGGCAGATGGTTTGTATCCATGTCTATGTCTCTACACTCTACACAGACAGATGCCTCCGCGCTGAAATTTGGCCCGGAGAAATTGTTATTGACAGACTGCGACTGGTGCGGAGAGGTTCTTCTGGTTGTTATATAATGGGAAGACTCGGGCGCTGAATTTGAAAGGGTAAGGACAAGGAAGAAAGAAGAGCATGAGAAAAGAAAAAGCATTGACAGACACTCCATGCGCCGGCGGGGACTCGAACCCCGGACTCATCCCGAAATCGATTGCCACTTTCATCGTCAGAGAAAGGATGTATGTTACCGCTACACCACCGGCGCCTCACCAAATTGGCGTACTCCATTACCTTCCTAATACTTACCTTCCCTCCATCGACGAAAAGGGAAAATGAGGCAAAACAGTTCGCTATGCCGGTAATGCGCTCGCGGGGATTCGAACCCCGAATCCAGTCCAAGCTGCTCTGTTCTCCATTCTAGACGCAGACTGTGTGTTACCGCTACACCACGAGCGCCTACACAGGGCGGCAACAGCGATTATTATATTAGGAGAACGGTGGGTCAGGAGAGCTGGCTGTTGTGCACGAGAATTTATCACTCTCGACTCCCGCTGCTGTACGTGTGGTGTGCCGTACTGGCCTGCCTCGCGGCGTCCAGGCGCTAGCAACGGCACGTAACGGCGCCGCAGCCCCGATCACGCAGGCGCGTTACATACAGGCGTTGTGGGGTCGCGCCTGCCTCCCCGTCGCCGTCGCGCAGCGGAGTGAGAGGCGATCGGGGGTTACGTCGTGCGTCGACCCGGACACGCAGTGCTGAGTAAGGGTGATGAGGAGGTAAGGAGGCGAACCGAACCGGGTCAGCGGGTTGACGGGGGGGACCCCGGGGAGCGCGGCGCTTCTTCGGGTGATGCGATGTGGCGAGAGAGGAAGAAAGGGAGAGGGAGGGAGGGAGGATATCTGGAACAGAACAAGGGCGGCGCACTGCCCCGCTGTGTATCAGCAGCGTATCAGTGTTCCAGAGAGAGCCAACGGGAGGAGGAGGAGGAGCGGTGCGATGTGTGCCTAACTCCGTGATGGGAAGCGAGCCGGGTTGGCGGCGCACGGGCACGGTGCACGCGTGCTTCGAAGGAGGAAGGCGCGGCGACCTTCTTTTCACGTCGGTCAAAACCCGGCCGGCCGAGCGACGCCGCGCGCTTCCGCTTCCCGCTTTCTCTGCACACCCACTACCACCGCTGCTACCACATATCCCCTACGACCGCCACACCGCGACTGCGACGACGACTACACTAGACACCGACGATGCCCGACGCCGTCGAGCCCGCCGCCGCCGCCGCCCCCGCCGTGGACACGGAGATGACCGACGCCGCGCCACCGCCGCCACCCACGACGACGAGCACAGAATCTAAAGAAAAAAATGAGCCCGCCCCTGTTCCCAGCGACGCCTCCCCCGCCGCCCCTCCTCTCCCGCTCCCGCTCCCCGCCAAAGACCCCAACGCGCAGGACGCCTCCCCCACACCAGCACCGACGACGGCAGCGCACCTCGCCGCGCTCCTCGCGGCCGCCCTCGGCGAGGCGGACGCGCTGCGCGAGGAGCTCGCGGGTGCACGCAGGCGCGCCGAGCGCGCGGAAGCGCTTGCTGGGCACGTTTGGGCGGGTGGCGGCGAGCTTGACGTCTGCTGCCACGAGTGCGACTACTGCTTCTGGGAAGGAGGGCGCGGCTGCTGCTACGACTACGACTGAGACTGGGAAGGAGAAGGAGAAAGAGACAGGGAAGGACACGCCGATGGCGGACGCGAGGCCGTCGTCCTCGGGGTCCGCGTCGTCGTCTGCGCCCGCAGCGACGGCAGGGGCGGGACAGCTGCCGGCGGAGACGATGGCGCTGCTGAGCCAGCTGGAGGACCGCACGGTCGCGGCGGAGCGCGCGCGCGACGAGGCGCAGGCTAGTGAGTGGCTTTTCTTTATTCTTTTATTTTATTTTTTCTTTGCTTTTTTGGCGTCGACCGCTGCGTTGGACACGCCCGCGTCGTCGCGTCTTCCCATCCTTCCCCGTCTTTCGTTCTTTGTCCTATTCCCTCGTCCTCCTCACCGCGTTCCCCGCCTTATGCACGCCCGTCCCTCGTTGCCGGCGCGTTTCCCTTCCCATGCCTCCGTCCCTGTGGCTCTTTTGCCCTACCCATCCGTCCTCTCCGCTCCCCAGCGCTTTCACTTCCTCCCTCGTTCTACACGTCCCCTCCCCGCGCTCCCCTGTTCTCTCAGTTATCCCCTCCCCCGTCCTTCGCCTCGCCTCGTCGCTCCTTCATCCCATCCCATGCTTTCTCTTATTCCTCCCTTTCCACCGTATATCTTATCAAACCACACGCTAACCCCCTCTCCCCCAGGAACCGCCCTCCTCGCGGACAACTGGACCCAGCTCGCCTCCTACCTCGCCGTCGTCGACGCCCGCGCCGCCGACGCGCGCCTCGGCTTCGCGCGCATCGTCCAAGAGGGCGGCGGCCGCCTCGTCCTCGTCGACGTCCCCCTCCCCGCCTCCGCCTCGTCTTCCCACACCTCCTCGTCGCCCCGCCTACACGCCGCCGCGCACCACTACGCGGGCGTCCCCGGCGGCGCGCAGTACGGCGCCGGCGCGCACTACGGCGACTACGGGCACTACTACGACGTGCCCATGCCGCCCCCGCGGCGCGGCGGCTTCGGCGGGCTCGCGCTCCCGCCGCTCCCGTCGCACACCTCCTCCTCGTCCTCCTCAGCGCACCCCAACTCCAACGCGGCTGCGCCCGGGTTTTCCATGGCTGGGTATGCGAGCAGCGCGGGGTACGGGAACGGGCATCGGAGGCCGCGCGCGGAGAGCGGGGATGCGCTTGCGCTTGGGGGGAGGGAGGGGGAGAGGCATGCGGGGAGAGAGGGGGCGAGGGGCGAGGGGTACCCGAATAAGAGGGCGAGGGGGGAGGATTGGGAGGTGGGTTTTTCGTTTTTGTCTGTTTTCCCTTCCTTTCGGTCGTCCTTCCCTCATCTCGCGTCCATTTTCGTGCGCGGGGAATGGCGTTCTCGCGTTCTCTACGTCTACTTTCTACGTCTACTTTCCTTCCTTCCTTCTACTCCTGCATTTCGACCCGACGCTGACGCTCCCTCTCTTTGGCAGTACCACCACGCGCCCTACCCCTACGCGCGCTACGGGCCCACCCCCTCCGCCGGCCCCTCCTCTTCCTCTACCGCCAACCCCGGAGGCGCACTGCCGCGCCGCGGGCACACGCTCCCCTCCTCGCACCGCGAGCGGCCCGACAGCCGCGGCCGCGACTCCACCTCCACCTCCCACCGCGAGTCGTCCCACCGCGAGTCTGCGCACCGCGAGCGCGAGTTGGGGGGCCGCGAAGGCCGGGACGGCGGGAGAGAAGGCAGGGAAGGGGGGAGAGACAGGTCGCCGAGCACGGCGTCGGACGACGTCGACGAGATGTTGTTGGCGAGCGCGAACGGGTCGCCCAGGCCGCACGCCTCCGCGTCCCACCCGCACCCGTCTGCGCACCCGGCGGCGGTGCACGGCGCGCATGGGCATGGCGGGCACGGGCACGGGGTGCCGGCGCATAACCGGTCGCCGGAGTGGGGGAGGGTGGAGAGGGCGGGGAGTATCGGCGGGGGGAGGGGGGAGGCGGTGTTCACCGGCGGGGGAGGGGGTGCGGGAGGGGTGGGGAAGGGCGGGAAGGGGAAGGGTTAGTCGTTTTTTTCTTTCTTTCTTTGGGTTTCCTGGGCTTGGGCTTGGGCTTGGGCTTGGGGCGCATTGCGTGCGCTCTTGCCTTCTGCCGCTTATTCTCCTTCGTAAACCTGAAAACTGAGCTGACGCACGTTTCTTTTAGACCTCCACGCGTTCCCATACACCGCGCCGCCCGCGTCGGTGCCGGTGGCGGGGCAGGCGCCGGTGGTGGTGGGGCAGGCGGGGGTGCAGGCGGCGGGGGTGGGGCAAGCTGCGGCGGTTGTGAGTTCTTTTCTTTTGCGTGGTTTTTATTTCGGTTTCGGTTTCGCGTCGTTGCGGCATTATTCCCCCATTTCGCCTTCTACCTCTTAGATTCATTACTGCGATGGGCTTACGCCCCGCGATCCTTTCCCTCCCCTTCCGCTCCCTAACTCTCACCCGTATCCTTCTTCCCCTTGCCTTACACTCCCTCCCATTCCCTCCCTCACCCTTTTCCATCCCCTCCTCCCGCGATTCGCATTCCTCCCATATCCCCCCTTCCGCTCTCTTCCTATCACTCGCTAACGCACCTTTCGCAGCCCTTCCCGCCCACCAACGCGGCGAACCAGCGCATCTGCCGGCAGTGCGGCCTCCCGGGACGCTACAAGGAGGGCAAGTGCGTCGAGAAGTGGGGCCCGGGGCCGTTGGGGCCGGGGACGGTATGTGATCGGTGAGTGCTTTCTATCCAGTCCATCCCGCACGCGCTGACGCGCCTCTTTCTCTAGATGCCGCAAAAAGATGAAGCGCGTCGAGCGCCGCGGGACGCTCGAGCAGCAGGCCGCGAGCGGTGCGTATTTCTCTTCCTTATTTTCTAACAGCAATCCTGATTTACTTCTCCCAGCCGCCGTCACGCCCGCGACTACGAGCACCTCCTTCCGCACCGCGTCCGTGCATCGCACCGACACGCTCCCGAGCACGCCCTACCGCGAGCCCGCGCAGGAGAGCTCCATGCGCTCCTCCCTCGCCTCGCCCTCGCACCCCACCACCTCCGCCTCCACCGCGCCCACCTCCACCTCGACCTCGACCCCCGCGCCCGCGCCCGCGCCGAACGCAGGGCGCATCATCAAGAACCGCCTGACGCCCGTGCCGGGGCCGGGCGCGGCGGGCGGCGCGCCGGGGCTGCTGCCGCCGCTGCGCACGCACAGCCCGATGGAGGTCGACGAGGAGGACCTCGACGCGGACGCGGAGGCGGAGGTGGATGAGATCGACGGGGATGGCGACGTGGAGGCGGAGGCGGAGGCCGAGGGGGAGGTGGATGGGGATGCGGAGGGCGACGGGGAGGCGGACCCCGAGGCGGACCTGCTGGAGGCGGTGGATGCGGCGGAGGCGGCGAGCAATAGTAATAGCTCGGGCGGGCGCGGGGGGCGCATGAAGTCCGAGGATTAGGCGGCGCGGCGTGGACGTTCGTCTCGCGTCGCTGGGTTTCTCGTTCGAGTCATACATATATATTACATCACCCCTCCGTCTCCTTCCCCCTCGCCTGTTCACTGTAGCGCTACGTACATACATTTCCTTCTCTTCAGTACTCCTTCCTCCCTTCACTCCAATTCCCTATATTCCTTTTCGTTACATGATACTCCTCGCTATCCTTGCTTTCGCGTCTTACACACACTGGTATTTCGGAGCGACGTACAATACGCCTGCGTACGCGGCGCGTCATGATCAAAAGTGTATTTATTATATTGGTAGTAGGAGGGAAAGCGGGGAAATTATATTACATAGAGATTTTCGTTTCGTCCTTCGTGAATTTTCGCAAGTCCAAACTTCATCAGTCCAAACTTCATCAATCCAAAAT